CTGCCTGCTTCGTCTCCGCTACTGCTTTGACTCCGTCTCTGTCTCCCTCACTGTCTAGCGCACTTATATATGATAATACTGCCTGTTCTAGAAACTTCTAAGACTCTCAACACGTGCTACCAGCGTCAGTTGACGCAACGCTGTTGCAAAACACTAGCGAATCTTCTTGAATATTTGTCACATGACCCCGCTGTCCTAACACACTAGCGAATCTTCTAGAATACTCGTCACGTGACCCCCCCACTGTCGTAACAGTACTCATGTTTACAACTGCTACCATAGATCGTAAACACCACTCTGACTACACACAAATTTCACTTCAGGATTGTATGGCAGATTACTGACTTTGCTTGTACAGCTAATATACTCATATACTTACACACATTACTTACAGTAAGAGTATATTTATACCTTTAGACATGTATTAATAGTTAATTTTTTCAGGAAGTTTAACTGTATATTCTGCATACTAAGGAATAAAAAAAAAAGTCGATTTGATTTTATTAAGCATAAATTTAACAGATTTCCTTAAAAGTTCGTATTTACATTAGCTAAACTTTTTGTTTTTTAAGATTAGTGTTCTGAATGACTAATTTTCTAAGGAGGAATACATACTGTTATCTTCAAAATTGTCCACTGTGCTCAGAAACAAAAACACATTACTAAATATACTTAAAAGTAATTGAGTTATTTTAAAGGTTTTTTTTAAAGATATAATGTTTTTTTCAAGGAATCCACTTGGCCGAACTGGATTAAGAGGAAAAGGGGCTCTACCACGTTGGGGACCAAATCATTACATCATTGTTGTCATGACCAGGTATGTTAAGTATTTTTCCATAATCAGTTTATATATATATTTATTTATTTTTAATTATTGAAGGCAAGGTGTGAAATAGTTTCAAACATGTAGGTGTATATTTCATCAGATATATTAATTTCAACCAATTCAGTGCATCATAATAAGATTATGTTGTGATTTCAAAGTTCCCTAAAAAGGGAAGGGTGTGTGTAAAGAAATAACCTTATTTTTATTTTAGTGTAACGAGTTTCGAAAGAAGAACAATGAAGCTTATTCTTGATAACAGCTATATATTCATTATCTCCTAACTGTAGTAGTATGTATAGCCTGTTAAAGTATTGTAAGAGTTGAGTCTTAATTGCTATCCTAACTGTAGTAGTATGTATAGCCTGTTAAAGTATTGTAAGAGTTGAGTCTTAATTGCTATCCTAACTGTAGTAGTATGTATAGCGTGTTAAAGTATTGTAAGAGTTGAGTCTTAATTGCTATCCTA